CTGGACACAATACTCCAGATGTGGCCGAACCAGGCTTTTGTATAGGTGGAGCATAACTTCATGGCTCTTGAACTCAATACCTCTATTAATAAAAGCTAACATACCATACGCCTTCTTAACAAATCTATCCACCTGGGTGGCAGCTTTCAGGGAACTGTGAACATGAACCCCAAGATCCCTCTGCTCCTCCACACTGCCAAGAATCTTTCCATTAACCCTGTATTCTGCTTTCAAGTTTGTCCTTCCAAAATGAACCACCATGCCTACTTGTGCCTGGCATTCAAGGGAATGAATACATTTTGAAGACCATGAAGACAATAGTGACCGAGGGTAAAGATGTGATTGATCAGAATGATCATGGCAAAGCTAAGCGGTATGTAGGAATTGCATGTAACTCAGTTACATTTAAGCCCAAATCTTTTGTTCAGCATCAGAACTGTGTCCAATGCCAATCTGTCAGAAAACGGTGCATGTTACTGGTTATGTTTAATGGATCTGACTTCCAACACAGCAGCAAAAAGAACTGCCTCATTGCAGGAATCCACTCAGCAAATGGCAAAGTGAATCAGTGCAGAAGCTACACGTCCTTTTATTAGCATCAGTGGTTATGAGTGTAAATGTCCAGTGTCAACATTAATGGATGGGTGAATGAGTGAATAGGTAGGGTGGGTAGATGGATAAAGTAAGTGGCTAGGGTGGCAGATGAGTGAGGTGATGGGAGTATAGCATGACAAGGTGGGCAGGGTGATGGAAGGGTAGAGTGGCAGGTGTGTAGGTTGGTAGGTGGGTGAGACAATGGGTAGGTAGAGTGATAGGAATGAACATGGACTGTTTCACTATCTGAGGAGTCATGAATGGCGCTGAACATTGTGTAAACATTAATGAACATCCCACTCCTGACCTTATAATGGAGGGAAGGTTATTGATGAAGCTGCTGAGAATGGTTGGCCCTAGGACACCATCCCTGAGGAACTCAGCAGTGACATCCATGGGCTGAGATGATTGACCTCCAATTATCACAACCATCTTTGCTTTGCTTGCTATGACTCCAACCAGCAGACACCTTACCTTCAGATTCCCAATTGACTCCAGTTTTACTAAAGATCCTTGAAGACATATGGGGTAGAATGCTGCCTTGATGTCAAGGTCAATCAGTCACACTTCACCTCTGGAGTTCAGCTTTTTATCCATGTTCGGGCCAAGGCTGTAAGGAGATCAGGAACCAGGGTCCCAGCAGAACCCAAAGTGAGTATCAATGAGTAGTTTATTCCTATAGTACTGTCGACAGCCCCTTTCCATCACATTGCTGATGATCAAGAGTAGATTGATGGGATGGTAACTGGTCCGTTTGGATTTGTCCTGCAACTTTCCACATTGCTGGACGGATGCCCATATTGTATCTGTATTGGAACAGTTTGGAGAGAGTTGCAGCTAGTAGTGGAGCACAAGTCCTTTGTACTATTGCCAGAATGTTGTCAGTGCCCATAGTCTTTCCAGTATTGAATGCCTTCAACCATTTCTTGATTTTGCATGAGTGAATCAAACTGCTTTTTGAATATGTCTCTTCTTCAGAACTGTTCAAAAGAGTTGTATTTAATTCCAAACATTAACTCTGTTTTTTTCTCCATAGATGCTGTCAGACCCGCTGAGTTTTTCCAGCAATTCCGGTTTTGTTTCAGATTTCCAACATCTACAGCATTTTAGCTAATAACAATGGAGTGCTGGAGAGGGGTCATTGGGCTCAAGACATTTACTGCTTGTCTCACAGAAGATGCTGCCAGACCTGCTGTGTGTCTCTCAGTTTTTGTTTCAAATTTCCAGCACCTGCAGTTCTTTGCACTATCTTGCTTTGACTTTAACATTTAATTCACCGCTGTTTCTCTTCCAAGGATGCCCAGCTTGAACAGGTTCTCTCATTGATTACTTTCATTGCTTTCCATGTCCCTAATGGTATTTGATAAAGTTTTTTTTTCCTAAATCTGCTTTCATAATCACATCTCTGGCTTTGATAGATCCCACGTAGATTCAAACTGAAGTCCCATCCTTTGCATTTTAAATCCACCCAGGATTATATGTACCTTTGAGACATACAATATTCTTTGGACTGCCAGTCTTGCTGAATTATGACATCCTCACTCAGTGTCACACGCCACTACATGTTCACACTCAGTCTTTCTCTCTTCAGAAGCACCAACTCACCCTAACACAGAACTACCCTGGTCCACAGTTGCATTTCCTTCTTTCATGTCATAGAGTCATACAGCACGGAAACAGACCCTTCAGTCCAACTTGTCCATGTCGACCAGATATCCTAAATAAATCTAGTCCAATTTGCCAGCATTTGACACATATCCTTCTAAACCCTTCCTATTCATGTACCCATCCAGATGCCTCTTAAATGTTGTAATTTACCAGTCTCCACCACTTCCTCTGGCATCTCATTCCATACACGCATCACCCTCTGCGTGAAAAAGTTGTCCCTTAGGTCCCTTTTATATCGTTCCCCTCTCACCTTCAACCTATGCCCTCTAGTTTTGGACTCCCCTACCCTGGGAAAAAGATCTTGGCTATTCACCCTATCCATGCCCCTTATGATTTTATAAACCTCTAATAAGGTCACCCCTCAAACTCCGATGCTGCAGGGGAAATAGCCCCAGCCTATTCAGTCTCTCCCTATAGCTCAAAGAATCATATTTAGCTTGAAACAGGGGGGTTTCCCCTGGGTGGGGGTCTAGTACCAGGAGGCACTGTCTCAGAACTAGGGATTAGCCATTTAGGGAAGAGATGAGGAGGGATTTCTTCACCCAGAGGGTAGTGCATCTTGGAAATTCTCTATCCCAGAGGGTTGTGGAAGCTCAATCATCGATCACGTTCAAGACTGAGATTGATTGGTACTGATAATATGAATGCATTTAGGAATTTCCTGGCAAACAGAGTAAAAGTAGTGATCAGTCATGATCCAATTGAATGATGGAGTAAGTCTTGGATTGAACAGACTACTCTACTTCTGTTTTTCTATGAAAAGTTAACAGTTTTTATCTCTGCAGATGCTGTTGGGTTTACTGAGCATTTCCAATCCTTTCTATTTTTATTTCAGGTGAGTTGTTTATGTTATGTTAAGTAACTTGCACAGATTCAGGATCAATGACATTTTTATTTGTCAGTGATACTTGATGGATTTTACAAATCCATTGTCAATACTGACTAAAAAGTCATCAAAGCATTTCCTTAATACTATTGGATTAATCTGGGGAGATCTGCCCGTTGGCTGATTTAGCTAATTGGTGCCAGCTATGGTCTCCCACTGATAGCACACAGACCTCTCAGTCAGCAGCTAATGTGGTTATTCCAATTCTAACATTTGAAAGTAATAGATGAGCTGCACTGATGGTGTGCTGCATTGTCCAAGGTGCTGTCTTTTGGATGAGAGATGTCGAACAGGTGTTAAAATTGACCACTGGGTGTTAAAGAGCCCATGGTATAATGCTGAAGAAGAGTCAAAGTGTTCTGCTGGAAAAAGGGAGATATACTGAAGATGTTTAGCTTCTTGAACTCATCCAGTCAGACATGCAAGAATACCAAATCTCAAATGGAGCAACAACTTACCTTGCATGAAAAGAGGCTGCTGATTGGTTGGCAAGCAGACCCTGATTGATAGAGGCTTTGGTGTGGAAAACAATGCCAGAGAGTATTAACCCCTAACTTTTGTTTAAATTCAAGCCAGGCCAGTTGACTGATGGGTCAAAGCCTTAGAGAATGTACGAAGGAAAAGTTGTCCCCTGAGTTTTTGTTCAGTTGCAAAAGGTACATTTTGTGGTCTTGTTCTGCCAGGACTCCATGTATGGATACATGTAGCTTCTAAAACATGCAAGTGAGCAAACACTGCCACCCAGACTGATAAATTCTCACGCTCAACCAAAACAACAGGCTATCTGGTCATTATAGTTGATCCTGGGATCTTGCTGTGCAATCTGGCGTGTTACATTACAACACTGTCCACAGTGCCAAAATACCTCAGTTACAACTAAATGTTTTGGGCCATCCCATGGTTGGTGCTAATGGACCAACTTTTTCACCCAGAGGGTGGTACTTGTATGAAATGAGCTGCCAGAGGAAGTGGTGGAGGCTGGTACAATTACAACATTTAAAAGGCATCTGGATGGGTATATGAGTAGGAAGGGCTTACAGGGATATGGGCCAAATGCTGGCAAATGGGACTATATTTATTTAGGCATGGATGGAGTTACAGCAAAGGGTCTGTCTTCATACTGTACCACTCTATGACTGCAAGTCTTTTTTTTTCTGCTAACGTTTCGGGTCCAGTAATCCTTCTTCAGACATGGTCTCTGGACCCGAAACGTTAACTCTGTTTTCTCTCTCCACACCTGTTGAGTTGTTTCTGATTTCCAGCATCCACTGTTCTTTGAGGGATTTTTTTTTCCGGTTCTCTAGTATGGATATTTCCAGACATTTCAAAAGGCAGACAGAGGAGCTGAACATTTCTTTGAAAGGCTGTAGCTACACAACGCACACACGCAGACAGACAAACAAGTACAGCATCGCAGTGAAGGTCCAGTCAATCAGTCCGGTTTGAATGGGATAGCAGGACTGCTCTGGACGCTAGTCCGGACTTCCATATTGGGTGTGAAAGCAAAGTTCAGTCAAATATTTAGACCATTTCCTCCTCTGGGATAAACATTACGGGGTCAGCAAACAGCGGAAACTATTTCGCGTGGGGTAATTTTGCTTGCCCCTCCACCTGCAGCTCAAGGTTGGAATTTTTAAGTGAAGAAAAGGACACGAGAAAAGATCTAACTGCAGTGAACTCCAAAGGAAAGGAATAAAAAGGATTGTGTCGTGAGAAATAGCAGAGCGACGTTTCTAACTGGAGCAATTTAAGAACCACCTCCATTGACTTTTCCAGATTTTTTTAAAGTCAGAAGTGGGAGTTGCATGATGATGCAGTCAGATTGTGGTCTTAACCTCCCCCTGGAGTGTAATTCTCTGTGAGATCTGCAGCCCCAGCCTGAGCGAGTGGCCAGTGTTTCTAAGTCGGTTTTGCTGCCCAGTGTCTCTCCCTCTCTCTCTGTCTCACCTTGCAGCCTCTCAGCTCCTCCAACCCCCTGGGCTCTTGTGTTCAGTTGTGTTTCGGTGGGGGTTTTTTTTGGTTCGGCAGGATGCAAGCTCCAGCCGGCGGCAGCCCGGAGCCCCAGCTCGGTTCCTGCAACTCGAGTGTAGCCTCCACCCCGTTGCCGGCAGCGAACACCACCGGTCTCTCCAACCTGACCGACCGGTTCGGCAGGAACGAGGCGCTAGCCCGCACCGAGATCTCGGTGCTGGGGGTCATCTTCGTGCTGGCGGTGTTGGGGAACGTGATGGTGCTGTTAGCTCTGTGCAAGAGCCGCAGGAAGACCTCCAAGATGCACCTCTTCATCAAACATCTGAGCCTGACAGACTTGACAGTGGCTCTCTTTCAGGTCCTGCCCCAGTTCATCTGGGACATCACCTACCGCTTCCAGGGGCCTGACCTCCTTTGTCGCCTGGTAAAGCACCTGCAGATTTTTGGCATGTTCGCCTCCACCTACATGATGGTCATGATGTCGGTGGATCGCTACATTGCCATCTGCCACCCCTTGAAGACCCTGCAGCAGAGGTCCTACCTGATGATTATTGGCACCTGGGTGGGCAGTTTCATAGTTAGCTGCCCTCAGTCCTTCATCTTCTCCCTGCGGGAGATCGAGGAGGGCTCCGGGGTCTACGACTGCTGGGCCAGCTTCATCTTCCCCTGGGGCATCCAGGCGTACATCACCTGGATCGCGCTGGGGGTCTTCGCAGCGCCAGTGCTCATCGTGCTGGCGTGTTACACCTGCATCTGCCACAGCATCTTCAAGAACATCAAGTACAAGACCAAGGTTCCATCCCACACCTCCTGCAGGAACGGCTTCATCACCTCCGGGGTCAGCAATGTCAACACCATCTCCAAAGCCAAGATGCGAACGGTGAAAATGACCCTGGTGATTGTCCTCGCTTACATCGTGTGCTGGGCTCCCTTCTTCACTGTCCAGCTGTGGTCTGTCTGGGACAAGAGCGCTCCCAAGGACGGTAGGTACATGTTATCCATTTGGCACAGGCCCTTTCCATTCAAAGGTGCCACCAGGGGCCAGGCTAAATGTGACCTACTGCTTTAGAATCAGTAATACACAGCAAGAAACAGCTCTTGTGATACTGTGCTAGTGTCCCGTAACTCTGAGCCTGGGTTCAAGTCGGCACGGTGGCTCAGTGGTTAGCACTGCTGCCTCACAGTGCCAGAGTTCAATTCCACCCTCGGGTGACTGTGTGGAATTTGCACATTCTCCCCGTGTCTGCGTGGGTTTCCTCCGGGTGCTCCGGTTTCATCCCACAGTCCAAAGATACGCAGGCTAGGTGGACTGGCCATGCTAAATTGCCCGTAGTGTCCAGGGATGTGTAGATTAGGGGGATGGGTCTGGGTGGGATGCTTTAAGGTTCGGTGTGGACTTGTTGGTCGAAGGGCCTGTTTCCACACTGTAGGGAGTCTCTAATGAGGTGTAATCACACTTATGAATAGGTTGCTTATATATAAAAAAACTGAAGGCTCTTCTGATATGATGGTGGTATTCTCCTCTGAGCCAGCAGATTCGGGTTCGAGTCCCACATGCTCCAAACTAAAAACCGCAAGAACTATGAACGCTGTAATTCTGGAATAAAAACGGGAATTACTGGAAAAGTTCAGCAGGTTTGGCAGCATCAATGAAGAGAAAATCAGAGTTAACGCTTCGGGTCCTTTGAAGTGTCACCGGACCCGAAACGTTAACTCTGATTTTTTCTTCACAGCAACTTCTGTTTTTATTTCCATCTGCTCCAAAGCTGTATAACAGCATCTTTGAGCAGGTTGATTGGGAAACATTAAATAACTAACACTATTTACGTGAACCTTTGGATTCCCATCACTTAGAGCTGCTCTGTCAGTAGAAACTGTTGAGTTTAACCTGAGAGTCACCTCCTACATTTCATTCGTTTTGCAGAATTTTTTCTTTGATTCTCTGACGTTTCCACCTTCCCGTTTTAATGAAAATTAACTAAACATTCACCAATTATTAGATGTTAAAAGTCCTTGTAATGTTCAAATGCACATTAGTTAATAATAACAATGGTAGGATTTGCCAGTTAAACAAAATTAATATCGGGAAGGGTTTTTTCTTTCATTCATTTGGCGGGGTGTGAGTATCACTGGCTGGACCAGCATCTTTAATTTTTAGTTTTAATCCTTAACCCATTCCTAATTGCCCGTGAGAAGGTAGCGATGAACTGCCTGGTATTGAAGAAAGCATTTAATCATGTTCATTTAATGTATAATTGCGTTTGAAAATGAGCTATATTATGTTGAAATTTGAAATGTAATAATTTTATGAAAAGGCTGAAACACTTTCTTATGCCTTTATTACCTCGAGACTTGCTTTCTTTCCTGGCTGCTGTTCTGCATTCTGCACAATGTAAACTTGAGCTCATTCAAAACTATACTGCTCCTGTCAAAACTGGCACCAAGTCCTGTTCACCCATCACTCGGGTGCTGACTTGTCTAAACTTGCTTCTGATCAAACAACATCTTGATTTTAAAATTCTCATCCTTGTTTCTAAATTCCTGCAGCCGTCCCCGTCTCTGCAATCTCCTCCAGCGCTACAAACCTCCGACATCTTTGCGTTCCTCCGGATCTGGCCTCTTGCGTATTCTTGATTCTAATTACTCCACCATTGATAGCACTGTTTCAGGTGCTTAAACCCTGAACTTCGAAGAATTGCGGCAAACCATCTCTTTACCTCACTGTCCTCCTTTAAGACGCTCCTGATAACACATTTGATAGGGCTTTGTGGTCATCTGCCCTTAAATCTTATGATGTCAAATTTTTTTGTTGTCATATTTTGTTTTATAATGTTCCTGTGAAACACTGTTAGTTGCTTTATCACATTAATGGTGCTACATAAGTTGTTGATAACAGACTTTCCCTCAAGTGCCTGGTAATTAAATTTGTTCATTACTTCGAGACAAATGCCTACTAACTTACCTTATGGCTGGGATTTTGTCAGTGAGATTATAGAATTCTAATAACAGGGGAAAAAAAGTGGTTAATTTTCATATTTGGTTTTTGTATTTGAAATTTGTCCTTACTTTAGAGCAGTGGAAACTTGTCCACATTGGAGTTATGCTGCTGGCTCCGTGGTGCACTGTATTGAACTTACAAAAAGCCAAAATTCTTACATCTGTGTAATTAAATGCATGCAGACAGTGCTGGCAAACATTAGTGAAGATACATCTGTTCTGTTGGATGTTCGTTAACGGTAGGAATCTTTTTTTTATTAATTCCTAAGACATGGACGGTGCCAGCAAAACCAACATTTATGCACATCCCTAATTGCTCTTGAAAACGTGCTGGTGAGCTACCTTCTAGATTAAAACAGACAAACTAACAAGGGCAATTAAAATTCAACCATATTGTTCCAGGCTGGAGTCACATAAAGGCCAGTCTAAATAAGGACAACAGAATTCCTTCCGAAAGGACGTTAGAGAGCAGATGGGTTCTTCACAATCTGTTTGATTCATAATCCCTATTACAAAGATTGTTTCCTTTTTTTATTCTATAATTAGTCAGTTAAGTGAATTTAAATGCTCAAGATGCGTGTGGGACTTGACCCCTCCAGGTAGTTAATCTAAAACTCTGGTTTACTCGTCCAATATATCACAATGCAAGGAATGGTTGAGATCTTTGTATCTTATTTATTTAATGATTGAAATGTGTAACCATTCCAGTCTGTGTGAAATCCAAGCCATATTACTCTCCCTCCTCTATGATGTCTCACACTTCCCCTAAATAGTGACTTGGAATTGTAGTTGTTCTGTATCAGGCCAGAATCTGCATTGATGTGACCCATTAATGATTGTTTTCTATGTATAAATAAGATGATGGTCATGCAGTATGTTTCTTTGTGGTTGATGGCAACTAACTGATGAAGCCACGAACGCAAGAACAGGAGCAGGCCATTTAGTCCCTCAAGCCTCTAACAGCATTCAAATCGATCATGGCTGATCAGCATTGCAACTCCATTTATCTGCTTTAACTCCAAAAGCTCTTGAAAAACTTACCCAACAACAATCTATTCAAAACAAGAGCAGAAATTGCTGGAAAATCTCAGCAGGTCTGGCTGCATCTGTGGAGAGAAATCACAAATAACGTTTTGGGTTCAGTGACCCTTCTTCAGAACAGTCCATCCATCTCAGTTTTGCAAGCTCCAATTTCAAAGCTTTTAGGCAGAGAAGTTCAGAATCCTACTACTATTTGCAGGAATAATTTTGCTTTACAAGAATTGCCAGTTAACTCAGTAAATCATTTACTGGAATCACTAAACATAGGACTTGGAGCAAGGGACAAGAGATAGATAAATATGACATCAAGTTATAACAAGAAGGCAGACAGATGACATTAGATATGATAAATGTGTCAAATCAATGCCAGCTGTGGGTAACAGAGGATTCTGAAGGAGATGGGGTAATTTTACCTTTTCTTTGTGAAAGAGTACTGGTTAAATTGCAATCTGTGGAACTGATATTTTCATTTTGCAGCAATCAACTATTTCAATTAATTGTGAAGGTCCTGCCTTCTCAACCTCTCTCCTCACCTGAGGCATGGCGACCCTCAAGTTAAACCATCATCAGCTGTTCCTCTCTGATGAGACAGCAGCCTTGTGGTCCCCTGAGACTTTACCTTTTACTTCAATTAATTAACACAATTAATGAATGCGGCTGCCATCAGTTATGGGCCACTTAAGACCAAGGAATTTGGGTGGAGTAGCAACATAGTTATTCCGAGATCAGCTCTTGTGCATGGATTATGCTGCACTTGTTGATGCAGTAAGTTAATGAAAATAATGAAAATTGATGAATCCATTCAGTCAGGATATTTAAGGAAAGTAAAACTGTATCTGTATCTGAATACACTGTAAGTTTAATCATTTTGACATCATATTCTTTGAGAAGAAATAGAGAATTGTCTGTGGGTAACCCCATATCTTAAAGGTAATGGGGGAGGTGGTGGTTTTGTGGTAATGTCATTAAACTGGTAATCTAGAATGCCAGGTTGACAATCTGGGGACATGGGTCCAAATCTCACATTAGCAATGGTGAAGTGCTAACCTAACACAGGACTACTTGCCCCCTAAACATCATGTAATAGACTGGGCTTAGCATCCCACAACCAACCAATCAGCTCTAAGCTCTGTAATCGTGCCACATTCAGTGGTTGATGATTAGCTGATGGGGTGGGCCACAAAAATCCCCATCTTCAATGTGGGGGAGCCCATGCATAAGACAACGCTGAAGTATTCGCATTCATCTTTAAAAAGAATGCTATGTGAATCCATCCCAGCCTCCTGCTGACGTCCACAGCATCAGTGTCTTCAATGAATTGACTCCATATGATACCGAGAAATGGCTGAATGCATTGAATACTGCAAAGGCATCAGGCCCTGCCAACATTTTGGCAATAGTACTGTAGCCTTGGCCAAACTGTTTGAGTGCAGTTACAATACAAGCATTTAGTTTTTTTTTAAATCAACCTGTTCAGACATATCATTACACACTCTGGGCCAAGTGGAATCTGAACCTGGGCTTCCTAGTTCAGAGGTAGGACATGACCACTATACCACAACAGCCCCACCATCTTCTCCAGGGCACTTATGAATGGACAATAAATGCTGACCTAGGCAGCGATGTACACATTCTGGAACAAAAAAAATGAAGGTTATGTGTTCAAGCTGCAATCTAGAGGTTGTTGTGCATAATCTAGGTTGGAAGTCCTGTTTAAATACTGAGGAAGTGTTGCACGCTCAGAGGCTCCATCCTTTATTGTGATGTTAAGTGATGACCCTGTCTTCCCTCTTGGATGTCTGTTCATGATTTCATGGCACTATTGTAAAGAAGAGAAGTGTCGCTTCGATTAGTTTTGCTAGTATTTAGCCCTCAACCAATATTGCTAAAATAGATGATCCAGTTGTTACCAGCTGACTGTTGATAGAACTTTGCTATGCACAGC